ACGGTTGTAGATTAGATCGGGGATCTGCAAGCTTTCTTTGTAAAGGGCCAGAGAGTAAATATTTTAGGCTCTGTAGACCAAATGGTGAGAGAACCTCAGCAGGTCTCTGTCACAAGCAGTAAATTGTGCATGTGCAGTACAAAAGCAGGCACAGACGTGTGAACAAATGAGCACGTTGAGTTCTGATTAATGTATCAACATTGAAACATGAATATCATATGACTTTCATGTGTTAAATAGTTCTTAACTGGCTGGGTGTGGTGGCTCATGCCTATAATTCCAGCACTTTGGGAGGCCAAGGCCACTGGATCACTCGAAATCAGGAGTTCGAGATCAGCCTTGCCAACGTGATGAAACCCCGCCTCTACAAAAAGTAGCCGGGTGTGGTGTCACATGCTTGTAATCTCAGCTACTCAGGAGGCTGAGGCATGAGAATCATTTGAACCTAGGAGGTGGAGGTTGCAGTGAACTGACATCGTGCCACTGCACTCCAACCTGGGTGACAGAGCAAGAAGAAAGAAAGAGAAGAAAGGAAAGAAAGAAAAGAAAGAAAGAAAGTGAGAAAGAAAGAGAGAAAGAAAGAAAGAAAAAAGACAGAAAGAAAGAAGAAAGAAAGAAAGAAAAAGAAAGAAAGAAAAGAGCTTAACTATCTAAAAGCGGCCGGGCGCGGTGGCTCAAGCCTGTAATCCCAGCACTTTGGGAGGCCGAGACGGGCGGATCACGAGGTCAGGAGATCGAGACCATCCTGGCTAACACAGTGAAACCCCGTCTCTACTAAAAAATACAAAAAACTACTAAAAAAATACAAAAAAAAAAAAATAACCGGGCGAGGTGGCGGGCGCCTGTAGTCCCAGCTACCCGGGAGGCTGAGGCAGGAATGGCAAAACTCGGGAGGCGGAGCTTGCAGTGAGCTGAGATCTGGCCAGCCGTATCTCCAGCCTGGGCGACAAAGCAAGACTCCGCCTCAAAAAAAAAAAAAAAAAAAAAAAAAAAAAACTATCTAAAAGTATTCTTATCTAGGGGGCCCTGCAAAAATAGATGGTGGGCTGGATTTGCCTGAGTCTCAGGCCCCAATTTCCCACCCCCCTGGGTAAGATAACGGTATTGGTCATTGCACTCTGGTTATGTGAGAGAATGTCCTTATTTTCAGAAAACACTACACACGAACGTATTTACAGTGAAAACGTCATTCTGTTTCTAACTTGTCTGCCGAGTGCTTGTCTAGCCTCTGCTTGCACAGTTCCCTTGATGAGGAACTCATTTTACCAAGTGGCTTATTTTCTTACAGGACAACATAGAAGATTATTTATCAGATAAAATATATATATACTTCCATGTGAGACAAATGCTAGAATAAATACAATTATTTTAAAGTGAATGAAATTGACCTTTTGATAACAAGACTAAAAAATCGGCGTTTTTCAGGTGCAAAGTGAGATTGCAAGCAGCCCAGCGAGGTGGAGCCAATGTTTAACCAGTCCTCCACCTAGTGGCCAAAGCTTGAATGAACTACTGTGGAATGACCAAAGTCTCCCTCCAGAAGGGCCAAGGGCAGAGGAAAAAATAAGTTAAATTAACTTTATTTTGACAACGAGTAGAATAGAAATTCATGATTTTAAATGTACAGGAAAAGTAGATGATTATTTTTCTAGCAAGAAACTGAACATATTTTTTCTTATGTGAGGAAAATAATTTCCTAGGTTGAACCCAAATTCTATAACAGATCAGTTGTAAATAAAATTATATTCTCAATGCAAACAAATATTGCTTACTTAATTCCTTCCTGAAGACAATTTTACAAGGAAAGAAACACAAAATTATGAAATTCCAAATGGCTTGCTTGAATCACCTCAGCTCCTGGGAAGATAAAAGGTAAAGATCTGTCCATTGGAAAGGTATCTGTAACTTGTGGAAATACGAGAAAATAATGAATGCCTATGAACATATTAAATTTAACCTAGGAAGTTTGAATGTAATTCAAAGCATTTTACATACTCACCAAATGTGAAATTCAACAACACTGCTTACAGTTGGCCAATTATTTTAGATTCCTATGGACACATACGTGATTCAAACCATACAGCTTGCTCTAGCTTATGTAAACCAACTACAAGTCAATGGACATCACTCCCTCTTCCAGGATTACAGAGTCAGGTGAGATCATCAGCAGGGAAATTGGGCAGATGGTGCTGTAATGGTTCCATGACAGATGTTAAGAGTCAAGGCTTAGAAATCTAGAATCTCAGGGGCCGGGCGCGGTGGCTCACGCCTGTAATCCCAGCATTTTGGGAGGCCGAGGCAGGCGGATCACAAGGTCAGGAGATCGAGACCATCCTGACTAACACGGTGAAATCCTGTCTCTACTAAAAATACAAAAAATTAACAGGGCATGGTGGGCGGGTGGGGGCTGTAGTCCCACCTACTTGTGAGGCAGGAAAATGGCGTGAACCCGGGAGGTGGAGCTTGCAGTGAGCCGAGATCCCGTCACTGCACTCCAGCCTGGGCCACAGAGCAAGACTCCGTCTCAAAAAAAAGAAGAAAAAAAAAAGAAATCTAGAATCTCAGGTTTGGAAGGGCACCCTAAAGATCACCTTGCTTGGCCAGCTGACTGATCTTTGAATCCCTTTTTTGACATTTCCAGCAAAGAATATTCAATCTTGTTTAAGCCCTGAGAGTAATGGGCAGCTCAAGACTACGTCCCAAGGTTCTTTCCATTCTTGCCAAGTTGGAATATCTCTTGAGCAGCCAAAATTGTTCTTGCAGACTTTCACCTCTAACCCGCTGGTACCCCTTTCAAGAACAAGTCTACCATGTCTGCGTAGGAAAGTCTTCACATATTTGAAGATAACTACTATGTCCCACTGAAGCATTTTTAAAAAATCTGGATGAAGCATTTTCAGTTCTTCATATCTCACTGTTTTGTTATCTACTTAAACCTTTCATGCTTTTCCACATTGGTCTATTAAGTCATGCATCTACTCATCAATTTTTTCATTAGTATTTATAGATCCAACTGTTGGAGTTGTCTTCTACCTCTATTGAATTGCATGTTTCTAAAGTAAGTCCATCCTTTTAACCCACTGAAGTCTTTGGATCCAGAATTTTTCTATGTCCACCAACTTTGTATCATTTCAAGTTTGAGTCTATTTCTGTTCAAATTCTGTCACTAGAATTTTCCCATGCTTTATTTAATCCTTACAACAACCTGTTATTAAGTGAAGATATCTTGAAAGTGATAGTGATTGGCAGTCAGGCAATAGTTAATCCATTTTATAGAGAAAATAAAAAGCAGGTGACCGAGCTAGTCATTCAAAGATGGTATCCAATGAACCATGACTCTCAGTTTTCATGCCTACTCCCAGTGTGGTCCCCTTTCACATTAAACCTGGGCTTGACCTGTGGCTCAGTTGGTAACATTGTCTAGGTTGAATGGGATTTCTTTTTTTTTTTTTTTTTTGAGATGGAGTCTTGCTCTGTCGCCCAGGCTGGAGTGCAGTGGCATAATCTTGGCTTGCTGCAACCTCTGCCTCCTGGGTTCAAGCAATTCTCCTGCCTCAGTCTCCCAAATAGCTGGGACTACAGGCACATGCCACCAGGCCCAGCTAATTGTGTGTGTGTGTGTGTGTGTGTGTGTGTGTATTTTTAGTAGTAGAGACGGGGTTTCACTGTGTTAGCCAGGATGGTCTTGATCTCCTGACCTCATGATCTACCCTCCGCGGCCTCCCAAGAGTGTGATTTTTAATTGCCTTTTGAGTCAAATCATTCAGCTGGTAATAGATGAAACTTATGTCCTCCTCACTAAGAAATGACAAACACAGTCACAATACTAAACAATGATATGAATGAAGCAGAATTGGAAATTATTTTGTGGGCAAAATGTAAATTAGAGCACATCTGAATGTTTTATTCAATTGGAATATATCCCAATGTTAAACTTAGAAAGTGAATAAAGCATATTAAATTGATTTGTCTCTGCGAATTTTAGAGTGTATAACTAGATTTGTCCATATCTGAAGAGTCATGAACAGTGCCATTCAATCCAATTATATAAATTTTACAGGCATCTTGCTGTGACAATAATTGAAAACAACTATTTTGCTTCCCTAAAATTATCATATCTTTAGGTCAATAAAAATATTTTCACATTTTAAATTCGTGGGGACTTTTTTTCTGCCCATAAAGAGATTGATAAATATATTGATAATTCTTGGAAGGAATTTGTCTTTAAGGGGAAAAAAGGTATCTGATTTGCCTCTATTTTATTTGAAGGCAGAGCTGAGCTTGCCTGAAGACATGTAGAGACATACAGCTTCTGGATCAAAGAGAGATCATGACGTAATCAGGACTCTTTGATGCAAGTAACAGCAACTGACTGGGGCTATCTAAAATCAGCTCTCCACTTCCAGAGGACATGCCAGTACTGAAAGCCTCTGCTATCACTGGGTACCATCACCATGTGGCACATGGTGAAAGATGCTAACTGCCCTTCAACTCTGGTCCCTGGGCATTGGATTAGCCAGCTTGGGTCATGTGCCCCTGCCTCCATGATGGGCATGGAGGAGGAAGACTTCATCCTGATATTCCTTGGTAAGAGTTGAGTTACCACATCTCACTGACACCACACAAGGTGGAGAATTCCTGCAAATTAAAATGGGGGGTTGGATGTGGGGACAGTCTGAATTAAAATAAAAGCTCTTTACAATATCACCTCTACAGTGTTGGTGGTTTTGACTTAAGGGCCCAGCTCTGACCTACATCTCCCAGAACATTTTTGTTCTTCACATCAACTGTCCTGCCCCACTGCTTCTTCCTGCCCAAGCCTGTCCCATTATATTACCTAAGTATTCATGATTCATCACTAACTCATTCTCTCCCATCCACCCCCACCACCACCACCACTACTATCTCCTTCCAATTCCAGTTGGATTTTTCTCCCCAAGTCATGGGAAATTCATCACTGGTGTATGAAGAAGGAAGCACAAGAATGGGAAGGAGTGAGGCGGGGGCTATCTGCAGAGGAAAGTTCTTGTTCTCGCTGCCAAGGCTGAAGCAGGGGCAATATGTGTTCTAATGCCTATGACAGGAAATCTGGGTGCAGGTCACTGCAGCTCTCAGCTCCTGCAGTTCAGCCACTGCCTGCCCCACCAGCTTCCCAGACCATGTCCAATCTCGAGCTCACCTTCATCACCATGAGGCCACACAGCGTGCAGTGGGGCCTGCTAGGCAATGTCATGAGGCACTTTGAGCTGAAGGGATTCCACATTTGGGCCTCTGAGGAACACCTGAAGCAGCGCTACCCTGACCTGAAAGACTGTCCATTCCTCTCTGGGCTGGTGGAGTGCATGAACTCAGGGCCAGCCATGGCCATGGAGGGGGTGCTGAGTGTAGTGGAGACAGGCCGAGTGATGCCTGGGGAGACTAATCCAGGGGATTCTAAGCCAGGTACCACTGGCAGGGACTTCTGCATTCAGGTTGGCAGGGACATCATTCATGGCAGTGACTCAGTAAAAAGTGCTGAAAAATAAATCAGCCTATGGTTTATAGCTCCATGTCCCCAAATACCCTCGGCCCTGGGAAGCCAAGACAGTTGATGGTACTACATATTTCCAAAGTCAGATTCTGTGGGTGGGAAAAACTTAACCTGAAGAGCAGGTTGATTACAAGTCTTGTGCTTATGACTGGGCCTATGAACAAGAGGTGGACACAGCAGCAGTCTCCTTCAGCACTGCTTGGAGTGTCCCTGGACATGGCTCTTCATTCTATTGACTTGGAAGCAACAGGATTGATCATTCTTTTCTAAAGGATATTCACCAATAAAGCTGGAAACTGGAAACAAACAAACAAACAAACGAAAAGGAATCTGAATGCATATGTGATGTAAATGGGTCAAAGATGGGCCCTGTTTCTTGGTCCTCATGTGTTCACTTCTTCGTAGCAGGCTAGGACCATGAACTCGAAGTCCACCAACACCGATTCAAATTTTTACACATATTACTTTAAATATAGCCCCATAAGCCTATTTTTAGACAATTAGCGCCTGACTTCTTTGCACACCCTATAAAACTGCACCCAACACCCATTCACCATATATAAGATACATCCTGTAGCTACTAAAAACCCCAACAGACCTGCTGCTCTTCAGAACTCTCTGACCCAGAGACTCCCCATCTTGCTGCTGAGTGACATTGCCTAGACCTGTACCGGCTCTCCCATTTCCCTCTCCACTCAGAGCTCCCTTGCCCTCTTCCCTTCCAGGTGGTGGCCCCATGCCCACAGCTGTCTCTAGACCAGCTCTTGGTAGGAGGAACTTCCTTTCTTTCTTATGCAACCCTGTCACAGCACTATCAAATAAGCTCATTGTGCAATATTGACATCTCATCTTTTCCTTAATCAGTCCTGAAATTTACAAACTTTCCACAGTACCTATCTTATCTTAGCCATGATCCAGGACTAAATTTCAGCTATATCAAGGATTAATTAGGCTTCCGTGAACTAATCTGGAAACATAACCATCAGAAATGTGTAGTATCATCAACTGTCTTGGTTTCCCAGGACTGAGGGTATTTGGGGACATGGAAATTTTAGTACTTTTAAAATTGGGAAGGGGCACAGGCAAACCACAATGAATTGATCACCCTAGGAATAACTGTTTCTAGTAACTTTCTTATAACTGCACCCCCAATGACTGATTTCAAGTCAACTTAGTGAGAACCTTTGGAGACAGCTGTTGCAAAGTATCTGCGCTCACTTTACTCAATGCAATCCAGCTTTTTAGTAGGGCACATAAGTATATCTTAACATGATTTTCTGACAGCTTCCCCTGGAAATCTTTATATTCAGATTATATTCAGTAATATTTTACACAGACCAAAACTGGGATACCAAGGACATCAAGAGAATATTCATGACTTGGCTAACAGTCAAAGAAAGATGTTATAGTCACCCAAGAAAAGAGGCAAGAAATAGCTAGAGTCTTTCTTTAGAAATTATTCTTTAAAAGCTTGATTATTCCTGGTTGCTGGTCAAAATTTACTCCAGGAAGACTAGACAGGCCATGCCGGCCAAAAGCCCAATTGTCAGGGCAGCTTCCCTTGAAGATGGGAGAAATTTTATTAACAACAAAGTTCCAAGGTCAGAATCTGCAGGTGGGAAAAACTCATGGTTGAAAATTGCCAACAAAAGACAAGTTCAGTGGTCTGTGCTAATCCCAGTGACCCAGGAGGCTGAGGCAGGAGGATCACTTGAGTTTAGGAGTTCATGACCAGCCTGGGCAACACAGTGAGACCCTGTCTCTAAAAAACAAAAAGAAAAAGAAAAAAGAAAATTGTAACAAACACCAATGAAATCAAACTGAGTCATGCGCATCAATTTGGGTGAAGCTTTCAGGAATCTCTAAATCTATTTTCTCGGTAGCCAGGAAAAACAGCAGCAACAACAAAACCTTACAGGGATGAACTTATTCTTTAAGTTTAAACTCCTTGTTTAGTATGCTTTTAATAGGACATCATGTGAATCTGTTAAAAAGTCAGGCTTCTCATGATGTTTGTGTTAGTTTGGGTTCTCCCTAAAAACAGAGCCTGAGGAAAGAACTGGGGTGTAGAACATGGGAGGCAATCCCAGGAAACAGGAGAAAGGGAACTGGAAGAATGAGTGGGGAAGGAGAAAAATCAATGTAAAGAATGGTACATTATGAAGGCTACTGCCATGGGCAGTGTGAACTCAGTTCTGTCAGGAACACTGAAAAAGAAAAAAGATCCTGTGGGTCAGGAATTTGGGAGCAGCTTGTCTGGGCAGTTCTGGCTCTAGGTTTTTTATAGGTTGCTGCTGGATGTTCCTAGGGGCTATGATCATCTAAAGGCTTGTCTGGGCTGGGGGATGCCTCTCTCAGGTGACTCACTAATGTGACTAGCAAGTTAATGCTGGCTTTTGACCTTAAGCCTCAGCTTCTCTCCACATGAGCCTCTCCACAGGGCTGTTTGATTGTCCTCACAGTATGGCGGCCAGCTTCCTCCAAAGCAAGTGATCCAAGAGATAAAAATGGAATACACAATGCATTTTATGATATGGCCTTGAAAGTCACACACTGTCACTTCTTTCATATACCATTGATCACACAGACCGGCCCTGATTCAATGTGGAAGAGGCTATGTGAAGCTGTGAATTCCAGTGAGATAAGATTCTTGGTGGCCATCTTGGAGGCAGGCTTCCACCTAGCCTCACTTTCCTAGCCATGTTCTTGAGAGATTAAATGAGATAATGTACATAAAGTTCTTAATACATTACCTGGTATAGTAAATACTCAATAAATATTAGTTATTACTATTGTTATGAGCTTCTGTTTTCTTTTATCTTCTTTCCAGCCAGAGACAGTCCGTCTTCATAGTAGCTGCGATGATTGTAAATTAGTGGACAGCTAAATGTTTAACTGAATCGAATTGTTTAATTTCAAAGCCTAATCTGAGCATATCTGTGTAGAAAAACCTAATGCAACATTTAAGTTTTTGAAGAGCAGCAGGTTATCTGAAAGCTTGAGAGCTCTTTCAACTTGAGAGCTGTTGTCTGATCATCACCCCTTTCACTTTCGTAGCTCTGGACCCAACTAAAGCCCAAGGACTTAGCTATACTTCCTCCTCCCCTGGCACCTGCTTGTCATGCTAAGAATTAATTCTCTGAGAGAGGCTGGAGGCTATAAAAATTCACCTGTGTCCCTCACACCCTGGGGTGTTTCCTGATGGGTCTGAATCCCCCTCCTTAACTCACACCCCTAGCTTTCACCTGGGCTCTTTAGAACCAGAAAAGCATTCTGCCTATTTCTTTGGCTTGATTCCTATGTTTGAGGTCTGGCTGTGCGGACAGATTTTATTCCTTTATGTCTCCCAAACTGCTCAAACCCTCACATAGGTGGCATTTTAATCTAGTCTCCTTTTCCCCATCTGGTGAAGCAGTGGTGTATGAATAAAGCCAACATCCTTGGCAGGAGAAAAACTTTTTGTCTGATTACTAGAGCTACAGAATATCCCCCTTATCCAGTTGTACTTTTGGGGTGACATGATAGTCCACTCTTCCCTGCTCTTCTGTCCGTATTTGCTATTATCGATCAGATTTGCTTTCTCTATCCTTAGCCATGGCCGTGTTTGTTTTGACATCAATAAGATTCTTAGATTAGGGCTGTGGCTCTTAGCCTTGGCTGCTCATTAGAACCACCTGAGAGCCTAAAAAATTTCCAATACCCTGGCTAAAAACCAGATCAATTACATAGGGTTCTCTGGGCATGGAAACCAGTATTTTTTTCAAGCTTCCTATGTTGAGTCCAACGGGCAGCCAAGTTTGAAGGCAGTGATTCTCAGACTTTTTAAACTTAGAACCCCTTACCTCTCTTAAAAACTATTGCAGACTCCAGAGTTTTTGTTTATGTCGATTATATTTAGATATTTACCATATTAGAAGTTAAAAAATGTTTAATTCATTCACTTATAAGTAACAATAACAAACCTATTATATGTTAATATAAATAACATTTTTTAAAATATGAGAAATAGTTGTATTTTCAAAAAATTAGAAGAGTAACTTTTTTTTTTTTTTTTTTTTTTGTGACAGAGTCTTGCTCTGTCACCCAGGCTAGTGTGCAGTGGCATCATCTCAGCTCACTGCAACCTCCACCTCCTGGGTTCAAGCTATTCTCCTGCCTCAGTCTCCCGAGTAGCTGGGACTACAGGCATGTACCACCTCGTTTGGCTAATTTTTTTTGTATTTTTAGTAGAGAAGGGGTTTCACCATGTGGTCAGGCTGGTCTCGAACTCCTGACCTTAAATGATCCGCCCACCTTGGCCTCCCAAAGTGCTGAGATTACAGGCGTGAGCCACCGTGCCCAACCACATTGTTTTTAAATAACTTTAATGTCTGGTTTAATTTTAAAAAGTTTTGATTCTCATCTCTGCTTCTATATTCCATCTATTGGGAGTGCAACACGTCATGTAGCCTCCGGAAATCTCTATATTCACAATGAGAGTGAAAAAGGCAAATTTTTGCATTATCATGAAAATTGTTTTGACTTTGTGGACCCCTCTTTCGGTCCCCCAGGCCACACTTTGAGAATGGATGCACTAGAAGGCTATAGAGTGAATGATGCCAAGGGAGTTAGTTAACAAGCATCTCTTTTCACCTCGCTTTCAACTACCCTTCAGTTCTCCCTGTCGGCCTCTAGAGGGAGCGCGAGGTCCTTCACTCCAACACCCACAGGCTGCTGGTGCTGAGGTCAAATTTAAGTACCCACAGGAGCTACAGGATTAGGAAAGTGGGGATGTTGGGTTATAAGAAAAGGAATGAAAGTTTTGATTTCTTTTCCTCCTCCTTTTTGTTCTCCATCTTTTTCTCTTCCTCGCTCTTCCTCTTAGAATTCCTGAAGCATTTGACATTTTTCTTTGTTGAGCTTTCCTATTACTCCCATTCAGTTGGTGCAATAAAGAGCAAGACAAGTAGAGATCTGAGAGTACAGGCTAGAACCATGGTTCTCCCCCTTCGTATTCAGTAGAACCACCTGGGCAGTTTGCTTAACTACAGCTTCCGGCCGGGCGCGGTGGCTCACGCCTGTAATCCTAGCACTTTGGGGGGTCGAGGAGGGAGGATCA